GGCGACGTCCTGCGGTGCCCTGGGGGGGGCTGCCTGTGGGGAAGGGGAGGCAGAGAACTGGCAGCTCGGGAGCAATGCAGGGGGCTCGCTGAGGCCGCCCCACCCGTGCCTTTCTGCAGGCGAAACCAGCTGTCAGAACGCCTGTCTGCCAAGTGGGCTCTGGACAGCGCGCAACACCGGTGGGCCCTGTGGGGCCACGTCTGGCCGAGCACCCAGGCCCCGAATCTCACGTCGGAGCCTGTGCCCCTGCAAGGGAGGGACACGCAGTGTCAGGGAGCAGGGGTCAAGGACGGCTGGAGAGAGTGTTTCCCACAAAGGACGTCTGTAAGTGTGTGGGGGTGCAGGTGAGCTGACTGTGCACTTTTTGCGACAGGAACCCCTGAACACTTTTCTGAGAACGTCGAGGGCAGACTGCTGCTTCTGGATGTCCTAGGCGGGCAGGAGGGCATCGAGACAGGGCTCAGCCTGTGAAACCCCAGAAATGCCCCCACAACAGCAAGAGGTCAGCCTGGGCTTCCGGGGGACGGGGGAGAGAGGGGACACCCCCCCCACCCCCACCCCGCAGCCAGCAGCCCTGAGGGCTCTTCACTGTGGTGAGAACTCTCTGAACCGGGCAGGAGAGCCCTCGAGGCCAGAAGCTGTGGACCAAGCACTGGTCCTTTCTTTCGCCAGCTTTGGAGGGTTTGAAACATCCTGTGCAGAGCTGCCCACAGAGATCTGAGCAAACTTTGCCGAACTCAAGTACCTCTCGTAAGCCTTGTGCTTTGCACACGATAGGGGCTGCCCGGTAACCGTGCCAGTGGCCCCTCAGCAGCACCTGGTGTGCACCCCACAAGGGCCGGTGGGACACCCCGCTGCCCAGACCACAGATGAGGGACAGACGAGGCTGTGGTCAGCAGTGGGTCGTGCCATGGGAACCCGAGTCTTCGGCCCCGGGCTGCTGATGTGGGGAAGACGGTGGAGAAGCGCGTGACAGCCCTGACTTCCCCACGGGAACTGCAGCGAAAAAGGGCAGGGGCCTTGCCCAGGTCGGGCGGCAGGGGTGGGAGGCCCGAGGGGGCCGTTCCCGGCTTTCGGAATGAGAGGCAGGTCAGACACAGGCGGTGAAGCAGGACCGTGGGGACAGGGCTGGGTGCTGAGGCGGGGGCCGCTGGGGGGTGCAGGTTGGAAGCGGTGGGGCAGATGGGACGATGCGTACAGTGGGGTCAGGACCCGGAGGGGAGA